GCCATCTATCCCGTATGCACGAAGGCATGCCCACAGACTGTTGCGTCGAATCCGGTCATAGGTTTTTTCTAGGTCAACAAAATAAATGCACATCGGACGGGCAAACTCCCACGATTTCTCAGCAGTCTGGGGTATGGCAAATATGTGGTCCCAGGGGTTTCAACCGTGCAGGAAGCGGCACTGCACCTCCTGTATCTTGCAGCTAATTATTCCGCGGCACCTCATTTTTAGCACCTTGGAGTGGACTTTTCTCGGGAGACTCAATAAGGTAACACCTCAATAATTGGAGCCCTCCATGTGATCTTTGTTCTTGAGCAGAAGTACAATAACCGCCATTCACCAGTCCGTTTGTGTCTTCCTCGTAGTCATTGCAGTTTGACAGACAGGTGTAAGCCAGGCCATGCCTTGTTTTCCTAATGTTTTCAGCATTTCATCAATTCCAGCAGCCTTTCCACTTTTGAAGCTCTTCACAGCTCTATGGTTTAATCTAAAAAATAGCAATATCCGTTCCCTGCTGTTCAACGAGCGAGGCTTCCTGCGTAGCTCGGAGTTAAGAAGTTCTTGAAAATATTCTCTCCTTATACTCGAGGGTGTCAAGAACTGCCCTTAATGACTCTTACACTGCCCTTCTTTTTACCTCGGATCCGGCATATGTTCTGTTGAAACACCTTGTTTAACTTATGGAGAATCTAGTCCAACATCTCACCAAACCTTAGCCAAGAATCAGATTTGGGTTTCGATATCGCTTCCTCTGTCACTTTGCGTGCTCCAGCATATCGCAAGCGAGTTAAAGGCTCTTTGATTTCAAGCCATTTCTTGAACGCTTGCCTATTTTCTTTAACTGCGCTGTACCTCTTTTGTCCACCAGGAAGTTTTTTCTTTACTTATGGGCGGCAAGCCAACCCATTTGAATCTTCACCGTTCGGCGGCCGCCCGAGTATGCCGCACTTAAAGAGTTACCACTTGGTATCCACATCGGTGGTCATCTTCAGGATCTGTTCAAACCGTCGTGCTATGCTGTTTACAAATTTTCCCCTCGTATGCACTGAAAATTATGTTTCCCACGTATCTTCTGTTATGTTCTGCAACCGGATCTCTGTATGGTACCCCACGCTGCACTTAAACCGTAGCCTGCCAAGACGAGGTGTTGATAAGGTAGTGATGCTCGATGGCTCTTGTAACGCAAACATCCATTACAGAAAGTTGTAAGTTAGAGGATGCGATTATCCAAATGATCATCGATTTCTGTGCACAAGCTTCCCTGTACTACCAGGTATGCTGACGCACGTTTCGATGCTCGAAGAAGGTCTTCATAATAGACGATCCGTTGTTCTCACAAAACCGCAGCAATTTCTTGCCGTTATTATTGAGGTCGATAGGACTGTTCCTTCCAACCACGACTTGCGATTTCGCACTGATTGCTCTGAAATGTGCTTTAAAATCGCCCATTGGAATGATGGACTTCGTGATCGGCATTTCGCGCGTAGCACACTGCACTTCCTCAAGGAAGAATTTATTTTCCCTCCAGATTAAGCGCACAGACCTGTAGAAAGGTCAACGCTTTAGTTTGGTGAAACACTAGATAGAAGATTGACACTGTTCCGCTGATGGGCTTCCGTTCAAGCATTCGATCAGCCAGGTTGTGTTCTACCAGAGCTGCAACACCGGTGGGAGCGCGTCTCGTGATATCGACACCTAAGTAGGATAGCTTCCATCTGCAGAGGTTCAGGATTTCGGAGCCGTGGCATTTTATTGACGAGAGTCCAATTATATCGAGTTGGCACCTTACGGCCTCATCGACTAACTTTTGTTCTCTCCGTCTGAGCTAACATATATTTCAATTTCCGTGTAATCTCCCACTAATTGTGGAGCTTTTTCTGACCTACTGTAACGTAATCACGCTGCCTGCTTCATGTATTCATAACGGATAGCAGCTTCATTGCTGATTGACTGATTTTCGTCCTTGTGATGTTCGGCAGCTGTTATGCTACGCATCCGGCTGACAGAGGGTGGTGAGCAGGTTCTGACCGCCGACTTTTTGTAGCCTGCGCGGCTGTTGTTAGCCAGGGCTAAGACCGAGTCGGTATGATTTTTGCATGACGGCAATATCATGAGGGGCAGTTACATAAGTTTTACGGAGACTTCACCACGGCCTCTAATCCTCCTCCTTTCTCTTCCGGGCTTTTGAACAGGAAACGTTGAAGTTTGACGTATTATTTAAGATATATAAATTACCTTTTACTTGTTGTCTGATGTACAAGGAAATGATGGATGTTAATCTTACTATACGCTTTTGAAAATACGTGTTTTGCCATTAAATACGGAATACCGGGGTTGTTTATGGTTTTGTTACTTGATGATCTATTAATTTAACAACTGTAAATTTATGAGATTTTATCGGTGCGATGCGAAACCGCAGCTTGATGTTAAATAGGTTTTAACTGTCGCGACTCCCTGAAGCTTGATGTGGCTCCATGAGTTCTTTGTTTAAAGATGCAAATAATTTCCGACGCATACTGGTAATTCTATTCGAGTATGTTGGGTAATAAACATCGGGTGATTCGGATTTGCTGTGTTACCTTTTCGTTGTCGCCCTTGTTTTTGCCCTGCAGTGTATCTTAGCTGATTATTGCTTTCCATCAAGCTATGATGATGAACAGTTTCGTCCAGAAACTAAGTAAGTTTTGTCGGTGGTAACGAGAACGATCTATCGGCAGTTTCACGATGTTTCAGAAAAGCCCAAGTTTCACAGTCAGTCGTCCGGACCGACTACCAGTGACGATGGCAGAACGGATAGCTCGAGTTTGGAATCGTCTTCGTTGAACATCGTGTTCGATGACCAGAACTTGCCGAGCACATCCGCAAAGCCTTGGAAACAGCCGTCGATGCTCGACGGCCGAATAGTACTCAGTAAGAATGTGGAATTGCCAAAGGATACATCCATGTTTCACCATGTTTCGGGTAGGGATGCCCTCAGAACAATATCTCGACGTTCCTCGAGTGTCGCGGTTATCTGTATCGTTACTGGACACCCTGAACGGATGTTCGTTGGACAACTTCCTGGCCTTCATGCATGATATGGCTGCTGACCATTTGGTCACCTTCTGGATCGAAGCCGAGAACTTTCACGTCAGTAGCGACCATGAATCGGTCGTCGGCATGAACTCGGTACTCAACTCCGGTACCGATCCACAAGGTGATTAAAAATGTGTGATAGCATTGCTTTTCAGTATGATGATGTTCGTAACTGTTTGTCTGTGGGAAGCAAATGGGTGGAGGGGGTGCTACACGCTATTCATTCAATATGGGTATAGCGACTGTCTTTATAAATGAGGCAAGTATACTCTTAGTTGATGCCTCGAAAGAAAGATTAGTACTGTGCAATAAGGTCTGCGAAATTCTGGTGCCACAAGTGGCATTTACGCCCTTCACTGGTTCCCTTGGTCCCCGCCCAATTGCTGCCCTTTGGTCGAATAGACAGAAATCTGAGATACAGACTCAAACGGTTTTTTCCTCTTTGAAGGGTTTCTTTATCATTTGAAGCGTTTTTCATGAACTCCTGTTAGTTTTTGTCTGATGCCGTGTAAAGCTGTATCGAGCCTGAACAACAGGGTGCCAAAACCAGTATTTGTCCGGATCGAAAGTAGACTCTTTTCATGTTGCCGTTTACTAGGCTTTGCCACACTGAATTTGCGTTCCCGGTACTAATTTAAGCCGCGAGTCTGCTGTGCACCTTAACTGGTATTTTACTAGTAATATTGCGGTCCGTTGGTGTAATTCCAGTTGTTGTCGTTAATATCGGCGTATATCTCGAGGATAGAAAGTATGATGCACATATATTTTATTGGTGATTTCTCTGTAGAATGAGTCCACGAGCTTCTTATGAGTGGCTTCACTGTTCTTTCGAAACCACGACATTAAACAGTGATACAAATAGGTATTGAAGAAGGTATCAATTTGTTACCTGTTTGAATAAATGCACTTAATTGTCTTGTTTCTCGAATAAACACGAAACAGATATTTAACATTCAAGCCTCCAGAGAGCATCCTTTTTTAAATTTACTGACCGGTGACATTCCAGCCGTCACTCACAGGAAACGAGCTGGTATGTTCGTTGTAGAGTCAACTTTAGTGATCCAACTTGTTTACCGACGTTTTAGTTCGTCATAGCCCATGATCACCTCTCTCCTTAAGAACATGAATTGCATTCTTTGAACTAAAGAAATGTCCCAAATAAAAACTGGGCAACGCTTACAGAAAGCTCTATTTCCCTATTCCTTGGAACTGACTGATGGCAGTTTACCATTTTGTCCAATCTTCATATTGTTTTGCCGATGTAAACCTTGTTGCAGTCGTTGTACTCGGCATTATAACTCCAGTTCGTCTATTTCTTTTTTTCTGGTTGATGAATTTTCCGCTTAATTTGCATTACCTGTTAACCGCCCATTTATTATTAGATTCGAAAACGTTATTAGTTCGAAAACGAAAACGAAAAGGAGATTAAAAATAATGAGGATGGCTACCGCTAGGTTAGCTTTATTGTTGGATTTATTTTTAGCATTAAAATGGGTCTCAATAAATGTCTTTCTGTAGGTTCCTCACTATGGCACCATTAATACGTATGAAATTTTACGTCCATGCTAAAATTCTGCCTTGTAGGTAAAATCACTGTTACAGACCTTAAGTGACCTAGGTCATATTCCAAAAATAAACCGTCTTAGTATGTGATTGTTTGCAGAGTGCTAGCTTTTAATACCGCCGGTAAGAATAACACTTTCCTGTCAGTGCTCTGGATTTACCTAGCGAAGCACCATTACCTGCTTCTAATAGCCTAGGGACCGTTTAAAACAGATAAAACCCATGATATTTTAGCATCTGCAGTACATGGCAACAAAATGGCATAATTTGAGGATTGACAGAAGGTTAATTTTACGGGTGGTATTGAAAACTACCGGTTTGCTAGCAGACCTATAATGACTGGGTTTATTTTTATTATATAATCCTACGAATGAGGTGTATTCGTTGGTGTTCGATCATGTTTTTGTTTCACCCAACAAAATGGCGCTGTTTCGCGCTCATTCACATAACCTACTAAAACGTTCACCTAGTTGAAGACTAGAAGAGGCAATGGGACGGTGTTTCGCTGCGAAAATTCGGGAGATTGATATGAGAATGTTATAGATATATATTTTTGTTATCCCATGCACTGCAGGTGGTAAAATAGCATAAAGCCGTGACCTGCTTCAACGATCGCTCAAGATATTAGTTAGAGTGATTTTAATTTTTAAAAATTAATTTAGGAAGCATTAATTTAGGTGAAGGGTAAGGTGTAGGCATCATGTATAAGCACCTTTTAGAATTTCGATTCCAAGTTTCTGATAAGCTGTAAATTAAAGCGATTTTTTGTTATTTACTCTTAAACCTGTTGTTCTTGACCATGTCCAGTATGCTGATTTGGTCTTTGTCTTATTTCTCCATGTCGATTCGTTTAGACGTATCAAAGGTTACCATAAAATTTTTCAGCATATGTCGCACGGCCCTGTCCAAACATTAACTTTAAAAACTGCAAGGATGTCATCCACAAACCTTCTTTGGACCTAGTGTTCTCACGAAATAGAGCATTTCTGCAGCATAGATGTTTCAAGATTATCTGCATATAAATCGACGAGCGCCACACTAAAGTTATTCCTTTAGACAACTAGAAGCAGTGAGACTGCGCGCTCACTAAGTAAATTCGGTATCATTAACCGAAACAGCTAAAACTAATTAGTTAATTTTTTTGCCAAAAATAACGTCCTACGTATTTTGGGTCTGCTGGCACACTGTCAGTTTTCAGTACCACCACCGATAAGATTACCTTGTCACGTATACGGATTTACACGCTGTAGCACATCATTTCCTTGCTTTAATCGTTCCTTGGACCGCTAACTGGAAGGCGGGCATTGATTTGAATCGGTCAGCATTCAACTATAGTGACATATTGCGCTAGCGCCATACTTCCTCTGTCCTTCTGTTGTTCGTGCCTTCCTTTGTCACAGTAATCTTTCTAAGCCAGAGACAAAATCAGACTTTCTAGAAGACGGCAAAGCGGTATTTTATGATCCCGCATGTACCACTCAGTGATTGCAACTGTCGATGGGTTTCAGTATGCTGAACTACATGCCGACACCGTGGCATTTTCTCTTCTGCTTTCAATAATAGTATTTTTTGCGCCGGTTAGCTGTCTGATATCTGCATTGGAGATATTATCGCGTCATAAAGTTCTTCCTCGCATGGCTTTTTCGGCTACAGATAGATAGTATTCTTAATATTTCGTCACCGACCATGTTTCTCAGCCACGCAACATCGCCGAAATAGGATTGTGAATTGACCACCACTTATCCGTAGATGTTTTTAAACAGTGTCCTTGATGGAGTTGAACGTCCTCACGCCTGCTTTTCTTTGGGGTCAGAGATCGGTCTTCTAATCGCATTGTATGTTTACTTCAGCATTAGAAGTTTGTATCCTCTTTCATCGCTGTCAGGCAGCCAGCTTCTCCGGTGCCTTGCTTTGAAGCGTTGAGGTTGGATTTTGCAACAGATAAATTAGCGCTGAGGCAAGCGTTTCAAGTTGCTTCATTCATCATTTTGTCATTCACATCATTTTGGAAGGAAGAACACCTGTAGCCCCGGTCGAAACCTATTTCTTAGCTATTACTGTTCTTCGTCAAACACAAAAAATTCTTATTAATTTTGCAGTATGGCATAAGTCCGTTCTGTTGGAGTGTCTTCGTTTATGCTTTGGTCTTACCTCCTGAATTTGTTATTTAGGCAACGAAGCTGTTTCGATATTTACAAAGTACTTCAGCCCAGATTCGCCTTATTATATCAATCCTACGAACAGAGTACGGGAAGACGTAATAAGTTTAGTGTTGCTTGTTATTTTTTTGTGTTATATTTAGTAAGCTTGTGTTTAAGACGCGATATGCCTGAAAGACGGTAGTTTGGACAAGAAGTGTTTTCGCGCCGCCAAGCGGTTCGTATACGATCTGATGGAGAAGCGTTACTTTCCGCTATACGAAAGAAGCAAGCATTACGCCAGGTATGCGTTGGCCATCCTCAGAGATTCCTGCGTCACTTTGAGTGACATTCTGTACAACGAACAAGCTCTGTTCTACTTCACCGAGGTATTTGCAACTTCGAAATGGAAGCATATTTGTGGCTGACGTTGGCGCTTCTCGTTTAGTTTATTGAACGGTGCGGTTGTCTTGCCCTACTAGAGTTTTGGCTGACTATTCTTAACTTTGAGCACGAAGCTTTGAATGACCCCGCCCTTGAAAAAGAACAGATGCAGTCGGACGCCATGATCATCTACCGGAAGTAAGTGACTCAATTAGCGGACGTTACCCACAAGCTTACGTCTTGAGGGCTGAATAACAGAATTGCAGACGAGTGTTAAGAACATTTTGTTTGGGAACAGAGGATTTGTTGCATGTAGCAATTGTTTTTTGGAATCTATCATCGTCAGACAACATGAATCCGACTGTCAGTGTTTAAGATCTACCGTTAAAATGGTATAAAATCGACTGTTTCTGTCACTAAGATGGGAGGAAATGTCACAATTGTTTACCGTTAAGTTTCATTATGATCGGAGTGCCTACTTCTTCACTGATGCAAATATGACCCATTCACCATTTTCATATTCAACTTTAATCGCTGTAGCAGACAATACATACATCGGCTGCTTTCCACCGCAACTATAATAACTGCCCCTTAATATTTTATAAAGAATCACAGTAAGCAGACAAACTGAAAGAGGAAGCTGGAAAAAACTGACAATAATTTAATGTCTGTTTTCCTTATGTGGAAAACATTCCTTGGGAAGGTCGTTTTTTAGGACGGGATTTATGTGGTGTCCTGTGGAGGTGTGGGACAACTAGTCGACAATATTTCTCAGCTCTTGCTGCATGGCAAATAGCAGTAGCAAGGTTAGAAGTTAAGAGAGTGCACGAATGCAATATGCGGCTACTGTAGCAGAACAACGATCGTTTGAGCCGAAAGGCGGTCAGGACAACCCTTCTTACAGACTTTACTTACAGATAAACTTTAGGTAATATAAGTAAATATGATAGATAAGCAAAGTGACACGTTGTGAGTTTGCATAATCGTTCTTCTGACCACCCCGTGGCATGGTAACTTTCCAAGTAAAACCTTCAACAGCCGCACTAAAAGAAATCCCTGCAGCCTCTCATGTCTAACGGCGAATACATCATTTATGAAACACTGGCTATATGTTGGTAATCGATATTTGAAACGTTAGTAGGCTAGCAACTACTTGCATATTCCAGGAAAACGAAACGGTTAGTGATAAGAGAGTGAACAGTGAAACTCTGTTCCTTGGCAGACAGTACACCAGCGCAATCTGCGTCGAAAAGAACCTTAAATTTTGGGAGATCAAAGAAGCTCTGTTCATCCAG